AACAGCGACTCCTCCAGCAGGAACTCGAACCAGCAGGTCTGCGGCGGGGTGCAGGGCCGGCTGGAGGTGGCCGCCTCCCGGTCCGCCGCCTCCGCGCTCATCCTGCCCCCGCCGCCGCCGCTCCCAGCGCCTCCCGGCTCCAACCTGACCCCCGCCTGAGGCCTGGGTCCCCCACCAAGATCCGCCCGGAATGCCCGGACAGCTAGCACGACTCAAGATGGCGGCGGGCCTGCCCGAGAGCCCCGCCCCGGATTCGCGACTCGCCGCGCTCTCGACCAATCGCTGCTGGAATTCAGAGGAAAGGGGCGGGAGCAAGAGATCGCTCCGCCCCCATGCTGCCATGGCGTTAGCTTGCGACGAAGCTCGGCTCTCGAGGGGCTTTCCAGGTCCACTGTGTGCTCCTCACTGGGAAAATGAAGCGACTTCGATGGCTTCGTATTCAGAGAAACGGAACCAGATCTAGTTGTTTTGTCTATGGTGCTTTACCTTTCTGAGATTCCTTCCAACGTACCTCTTCGCCCCGTTTTCCAACAGGAAGAGCGCAAGCAGTTAGATGCAACTTGTCTGCGACTTCTCTGGAGTCTAGGTGTTCAGGACCTAGTTAATGCTGCACAGATCTCCTTTCCGGCGCAGTAAGCCCTACGTTGACATTTGCCGCCATTCTGTCCCCAACAGAACTAAGGAGCAAAGCCTGGTGGGGCCGCCTGAAAAACCCTGCACTTGGGAAGCAGAAGCCCAAGGGTCCCTCAAGTTGGAGGACAGATTCGTCCTCATAGTGAGTTCCTGGGATCCTGGGGGCTGAACTTGAACCTGAGTAGATCTTATTGACTCAGCCTCCCTAGCGCTGAGATTAGAGGTCATCACGTTCCTTGTGGGTTCTTTGTGGGTATTTGTGTGTTTTGTTCTTATGCTTCTTTAAGAAAATAAAACAGAATATGTAAAACCAGTCTATAAATATTCTGGGGGTGGATCTTATGTCCTTTAGGGAATAGTTGAATGGCAGGTCTTTGCAACCAGGCCCAACTTTGCCATAGATTTTCTAAAACAGCAATAAATTTAAAACTATTATGTCAATGCCTTAAGCTTCTGTCTTGCATTACTTGTAGACAGTATCTCACTGGCAGGAGAAATGAGAGAGAGAGAGAGACAGAGAGAGAGAGAGAGAGACCTGTTACCCAAAAAAATAGCGCCACCACTGATTGCCACATTGAGCCACAGCCGAGTTTCTGAGTCATTTGAGTCATTTCGCCTTTAAATGGCAACTCCACCCTGCTCCTTTAAACTTTTAAGTTTAAAACCTACAGAGGCAGATAAGATTGGTAAAGAAAATGGCTGGACAGGCACATCTATGTTGACATTTTCAGGTTGCAGAGAGAGAAAGAGGGAAGAATGCAGCCCTCCTGGCAGTGGGAGTCCGCTACCTGGGCCTCGGGAGAAACAGTCATAGGAACCTCTTTCTCTAGCTTTCAAGTCATAAACTTTCACGTGATTAAAAACACACAACGAGCGCACCGGTTTATGGTGTGCTGCCGTGGGCCATGCTGGAGGAGCAACGAGTTGCAATTGAAGTTCCAGGTGTCGCCCATCAGAAGGGAACGCTCTTAGGAGCCAATCTCGGTTAGGCAAGGCCTGGGGACTGCAGATCCTGGAATGTCTTTTACTTCTGCTGCGCATGTTCTCTGCGGCTCTCTGTCTCCCGCATCTAGAACGGCGTGAGTGACTAGGGAGCTCTCCACTGCCTGTGTTATAGTATGTCCCAGTAGCCCAGCTAGCTTAAATTCTTTTAACCTTAATGTTGGGAGATGTGTTCACAGGTCACAGAAGGCATTACAGCTGAAATAAAGCTTTGAAAATAGCAAAATTAGACTGAGATGTTTTTGTTAAATAACTTTGCAGCGAAAAACCAAGAAGACAACCTAAAGTTTTAGGAAGGCACAGAGTTGAATGAGGAACTCTTTAAGGTCAGGGAACAAGAACAAAGCAACCCAATTATTACTGGCTGACGGACTCTCCTTGCTAGGTTTGATTGATGACCAAAGGTGGTGATTAATTACTTATACCCTTTTAAGTCCTCAATCTCCTGATGTAAAAACTATTAATGATTAGCTGTGTACCCTAAAGATTTAAAATAGAGCTGACTGATTCTTTTTCATATATAAAAGTTTAGGTTTGTGATTTCTTTAAGATTCCTTATATTGGGGCTGGAGAAATGACTCAGCGGTTAAGAGCACTGACTGCTCTTCCAGAGGACCCGGGTTCAATTCCCAGCACCCATATGGCAGCTCACAACTGTCTGAAGATCCAGTTCCAGGGGATCTGGCACCTTCACACCAATGCACATAAAATAAAGATAAATAAATCACAAAAGATTAAAAAAAGATTCCTTCTAAGATTACCTTTCAGGATGAGTAATAAAGTAATTGGCTCTTTCTTTGTAACTGCAAAACACAGTCTGCCAGTCAAAGACCTGACAGAAATACCTTGCTTGCCCACACGGTTAATCTATAACAAGTTGCCTGGGTATGAATGCATGTGGATTCCTGGGATAATTTGTTTTTTTCCTGTGATACATAAAATGTTTAATCACGTGAGGGAGATGAAAAGCATGTTTTTACCTATAATCATTCACTTGAAAAATGGATTGCAACTGTTTTGACTCTTGTATTACCTGGAATATTCTGTTGGGGTATAAAAGCTATAAAACAACATGAGATGGGAAGGGATATTAGAGAGAAAAAAGGAATAGAAATAAAGAAGGAAAACATCAAGAGAGCATGTGAGTGCTTTTTTTCCCTCATGCCCCCGGATAGAAAAGTTTAGCCTCGCTGACTCCATGGATTCCTGCCAATGCCGGGTGCTGCTGGAGGTTGGTGTGCTTTTTTTAGGACTGGCTCTCAGAAGTTTCCTCTGTAGCTAGAGAGGCATCATATCACTAGTCAATCACAGGTCCTATTTGCTATTCCCCCCTCCCCATGCTGTGAAGTCACAGTTGTCAAAGGCAGAACCACCCCGGCATAAGCTAAGTCTCTAAAGATTTTTCTATACACTTTTGAAAATGAAGACATATGTAAGCGTGCTAGCAAATAATGTGATTTCTTCCAGAAATCTTTTAACAATTATCTTCCCAAGCCTGGCATAGTTGTGCACACCTATACTCCCGGCATCTGCAGCTGTCAGGTGACTGGTGAGCTAAAGAGCAGCCCTGGCTACATAGTAGAGCCTGTATCTCAAATTACAAACAAAATCAGAGAATACAGATCTTGGTCCCCCACCCCTTGTTTTTTTAAGATTTATTTTTGGAGCCAGCACTCAGGAGGCAGAGGCAGGTGGGTCTCTGAGTTCAAGGTCAACTTGGTCTACTTAGTAAGTTCCAGGACAGCCAGGGCTGCACAGAGAAACCCTGTCTCAAAACAAGATTTATTTTTGGCTTAGAAGTTAACACTGGCCTCTCTTCCATGGTACTCAGGATCAATTTCCAGGCACCTACGTGAGCGCTCACAAAAGTCTGTAACTGCAGCTCCAGGGTATCTGGCACCTTCTTGCTCACTCAGGCTCCAGGTTCACTTGAATGGCACAGACATGCAAGCAGGCAAAACACCCACATACATAAAAGAAAATAGTTGAACATTGCTTTTCATTCATGTATGTGCACCCTGGAGGTATAAGACTATAGCAGATCTCCTGGAACTGAACTCCAGTTCTGGACAGGAGCAGCGAGCACTCACAGAGTCTGACTCGTACTGGAAGTTCCTATGTAGATCAGGCTGGCGTCAAACTCACATATCCTCCTAGCTCTGCTGCCTCGGTGCTGGGATCAGGGCCACCATGCTCAGCTCAAGAATAAAGATCTTAAATACTGCCCACAAGTGCTACTGGCCCACCGTCCTGGTTAGTTTTATGTCAACTTGAAGTAAGTAGTGTCATTTGGGATCCTCGGATGAGAAAATGTCCCTATAAGATTGCTGGTAAATCTGTACTACATTTTCTTGATTCGTTATTGACGTGGGTGGGCCCAGCTCCCTGGAGATGGTGCCTACACAGACCCCCAGATCCTGGATGGTATAAGGCCTCTGCATCAGCTCCTTCATAGGTAGGTTCCTGTGCTGTTTGAGTTCCTGTCCTGATTTCCCAGAGATTGACTGGGCTGTGGATTGTAAACTGAAATAAATTCTACTCCCACACACACTTGTTTTCGGTCATGCTGTTTTATCACAGTCATAGAAACCCTAAGACAGCTCCACAGAGGGTCCCTCAATGGCCTTTGTGGTGGTTTGAATGAGAATGGCCCCCATAGGCTCATATATTTGAATCTGTGGATCTCAATTGGTGGAACTGTTTGGGAAAGATTGGGAGGTGTGTCCTTGGTGGAGTAGTGTGTAGCTGGAGGTAAGCTTTGAGATTTCTTTTTTCTTTTTTGGTTTTTCAAGACAGGGTTTCACTGTAGCTTTGGAGCCTGTCCTGGAACTAGCTCTTATAGACCAGACTGGCCTCGAACTCACAGAGATTCGCCTACCTCTGCCTCCCGAGTGCTGGGATTAAAGGTGTGTGCTTAATCCTGATCCGCCAGTGTCCTGGGACTGGATCTGTGCCTGGCTTCTGCTCCCGATGGAGCTTGTTTCCTCAGGCCCTCTCTGTCTTAGGTTTCTGGGTTAGACTCTTAGCACTAAAAATTAACTAAACATTAGAAGACTAATTAATAATCTTTGGTTTAGACTCATTCTATGCAGCCTATATTAAAGAAAATGCACAATGTGGAGAGGAGTCACCAGGCTGTCAGGGGAAACTAGAAACTTAGGTGTTGAAACAGCAGCTTCAGCAAGCACCCACTAACCAAGAGCTACCTCCCTTTAGCAAATAAACACGAATTAGGAGGGACTCAGCTCTAACTGGGAACTCCAGGGTGGTTGTAACCAGGCTAGAAGTACGAAACTTCTAAAGCCCTGTCAAACTCTAGCCACTCAGAAGTTGCTGACTCCCAAGAGAAGGAATCATCTGACCCAAAGACACACAGCTTGTTGCCTGGAATACAGTCTATAGTGTTTTTAGCCACAAGCCTCCATCAAACTAATTAAAGTACTCAGAGCCCAAGACAAGCTATGGTGGACCCTGGACTTAGAAGTTGGAGCCGAGGCTGTAGCTCAGTGGTAGATCACTTGGTTAGCATGTACGTGGTTCTAGGTTCAAATTACTGTGTTATCCCCTTTATCGCCCCCCAAAAACCAAAGTCAAAAGTAAGTTAA